AGGCACTGAGATCAAGGAAGACCCAGAAAATCTTCTTGCAACAGGCCTTTAGCTATGACTTGAAAGAAGCCAGGGAAGCCAAAGAGGAGGAAATTAGGAAGGAGCAAAAGAGAGATAAGTGTATAAGAAGAACCTATTACTCTGAGAAATGAAGGCTGAAAATGGAAATAATTTCAGCAGATAGAGCACTAGCCTTTGAGTCAGAAGCCTGAGTTTGAATCCTGCCTCAGGCATTGACCAGTGTGTAACCCAGAACAGGTCACTTATCCTCTCTCAGTGTCAGTTCCTTCATCTGTAAAATTAGGAATAATAGCACCAACTTCAAAAGAGTGTTGTGAGGATGAAATCATATAGTGCATACAAAACACTTAACACATATAAAGGCTTCGCAAACCTTTAAGCACTAGAGCTGCTAAGCAGCAGCTAAATAATAATAATTTCCTCGCATGTATTTATACCTCAGGATTTACAAAGCACTTTCCTCACAAGAGCACTTTGGGGTAGATAATAAAGTACCTCCATATTACAGAAGAGATATAACTTGCTTCTGGGTAGTAAAATTCATAGCTGGGACTAAAACCCAAGGCTTCTGTATTCATTAATTCTAGTAATAATATTAGCTAGCATTTATATGGAGTTTTAAGGTTTGTAAAACACTTTACAAATATTATCTAATTTGATCCTCACAACCACCTGTTATTATTATCCTCATTTTATAGATGAGGAAACTGAGGCAGACAGAGGTTAAATGACTTGTCCTGGGTGACACAGCTAGCAAGTATCTAAGGCAGGATTTGAACTCGGTTCTTCTTCCTGATTAAATGTCCAGCATTCTATCTACTGTACCACCTAACTGCTAACTTCTGTACCCTTTTCCATTACAGCATGCCATCCATCTCCCAGATCCATTGACTCATAGAATGATTGAATCTCCCATTTAGAAGGAACTTCAGAAATTATCTAGGTCAGTCTCTTCTCCAAAACACAAGATCTCCCTACATTACTAACGTTATCAACCTTCCCCCCTCCACTTCTTCAATATTTGGTTTTTTTGTTGTTTGCCCTTCTTTTTTGGAGAGGACCAATAACATTACGGGGTGATAGTTCTCCTCCTGTGGGAATTGGATTAAGTGAGGCAGAGCTGCACAAATTCATCAGCCTCACTCTCTTCCAGAGTCATCAAAGTCCAGGGATGCAGTGGATGACCTGGCACCTAAATGTCTGACAAAAGTTCTAAGCACTCCACAGCACCTGCTTCAGTGGCCTTCGTAGCCATTGAAACAAATTGGTTTCAACTGCCCATTCCACCAGGGAAGTCTTTTTTTTTTTCTTAAGGCAATTGGGGTTAAGTGACTTGCCCAGGGTCACACAGCTAGTAAGTGTCAAGTGTTTGGTCTGAGGCCAGATTTGAACTCAGGTGCTCCTGACTTCAGGGCCGGTGCTCTATCCACTACACCACCTAGCTGCCCCTAACCCACCAGGGAAGTCTTCACATGCTTGGGGTAGACACTTCCCTGACTCATCAATTTGCTGGAGGCCCATTGGTTACCCTCAACCTGGTTTACCCCATCTGCTGAGACAGTGTACCAAGGTGTGTGCATGCTACAGCTTCTTGGTGCCACAGGTGAGAGTCGAGTGCCAGGTAGACACCAAAAGTAGATGAATAGCCCTGAAAAGGACTTGGCAAGCCCTCACACCAGAGGTGCTAATCCTCCTTGAACACCCCATGCACCCCATTAAATACACTCTTGAATACTTACAGTGATAGAGAACTCACTGAGTTTGAGAGAAAATCTTCTCTAATCAGGGACAGCACTCCTTATTAGAAATGCCTTTCTTATGCTGAGTGGAAATCTAATTACGATGGACCCATCACAGATTTGAAGGAAATATTCCTAACATTTTAGGTTGTCAGCATTCATTCATTCATTTATTCATTCAATTGAGGACCTACAATGTACCTTGGACCTTATGACCTTGGAGGACGCAAGGAAAATATAGTCCCTGACTACAAGGAGAGCAATTAGCTACTCTTTCTAAAACCTTCTATTCAGAGGCAGAATCATAGCCAGAATGAGCCATTGGTCAGATCTAGCATGGTAAATCCAGTATACGTAGACAACCTTTCAGGAGATGTGAGCCACTGCATTAGCATCCTCCCTTTATTGTTATTGTTGAAGAATGGCACCTTCTAATAAAGTTCTGTATTGCATCTTGTGTTTTGGCTCCACTCTCAGCCCCTGTTCAACTGGACTGGCCCACCATTGCCTGTAGCAAGGTACATATTTTCCAGCTCCCATCCCCTCTTAGAACATTACTTCAATATTAAAAGACTCAGATTTCTTTTATAGAGGTGCTCACTCCCTTCACTCGCACAGATCACAATTCTACAGTTTAGTAGAGTCTTCTAATGTTGCTGTGGTCAAAAAATTCATCACTCTGAGACCATTCTGGCAACGAGCCTTTCAGGACTCAGTAATGCTGGGCCTCGGACAATAGGTATTCAGTGCATCACTATACTCTTGGAACATGTAGCGAGCAATTAATGCCAGTTACTTAAAACATGCTTATTTGTCCACAATAGAGGATGCATAAAAACATTTGGTTCTTAAATGCCAAATCCATAGCTATCACACTTAGATTCTGGCATTATATATTAAATATCACTTGGCTAAGTGAGTTGGGGGGTAGTAAAATTAGGGGGAAACTGGGATCATCACTCACTCTGATAATGGCAAACATCATTTATCTAGTCTAGCCAACTTTAAACCTCTAAACCCATCAAGAGTTAGAAAAGCAATTGATTACCCCCAGGTAGGCAGCTTTGAGGCAATTTGGTTGGAAATTAAACATATCACCTGAATGGACAGTGAGCTTTCATTTTGCAAATCTGAATGTTTCAAGATAATGAAACTTTAATGGAGTTCAGGCTTTTTCCATCCCCTTTTCTGAGACCATTTTAAATATGCTGTGGTCATCACTGCAAAAGGATGATTAATGACTTGTTAAATATTTTAAACTTGTTAAAGTGGGCTTGTTAACTGATCTTCATTTCATTCTGTACCCTGATTGAATCATTCATGAAAGTCACACTTCTTAAGGGCTTTCTGTGATTGCAGTTAAACATGAAGAGATTTTTTAACCAAATGGCATCCTGGTATTCAGAGTGCCTGCCTGTCATTTCCCATCCTTTGAAATCAGTAGCACAATAGAGAAAGTCAAAGGAAGAACCCAAGCTGTCACAGAGTCAAGTCATAATTGAATCCTCTATCTGTGATGCTTAAATAATGATCACAGGATCACTGATGTAGAGCTAAAAGGGAATTTAGAGGTCATCACATCCAACCCCCTCATTTTACAGATGAGGAAACTGAGGCACAGAGGAATTAAGTGATTTGCCCAGGGTCACACAACTAGTAAATGTCTGAGGTGAGATTTAAACCCAGGTATTTCTGACTCCAAGTCTAGTGCTCTAGAGAGCACTTTATGCTGCCTCTTAGATCAAAGAGAAGGGGAAATCCAGAGAATATTTCCAAAGACATGGAAAGAAACATGGCATTGTAAAAGGGATTCTTGGAATCATAGGAACAGTAGTAGAAACCCAGCTCTGCCACTTTATTATGAGCTCACCTGCTGACCTTGGGACAAGTTACTTCTCCTCTCTGCTACTTGGTGACCTTATCTGTAAGATGAGGGAGTCTGACTACATGATCTCGAACATCCCTTCTAGTTCTCTATCTATTACTATTACTGTGCCTGCAGTGGTCAGTGGTAACGTAGAGAGAGTACTGTCCTGGGAATCAGGAGACTTTCGTTCTATCGCCAGCTCTGCCTCTAACTAGTCTTGTGATCTCTGGCAAGTTACTTATCAAAAACTTCTTAGAGATCGAAGAATGAGTATTTGAGCAGGAGTGCCCCCCATTCCCCCATGACATTCTAATAGTCATTCAACCTCTATTTGGGGATCTTCAATTTGGGGAGCCCACTACCTCTGGAAACAAAAAGAAGCTGCCCTTTCCATGGTAGAGTTTAGGCTGAGAAACACTGCTCTAAAGAACAGAGGTAAAGGAACATCTCAAGCATGAAGCTACCACCCTCTCTACCTTGGAAGAAAATCAGGGGTGCTCTTTCTTTCACAGTCCCTTTCACCTAAGTGGTTCTGTCTCACTCACTAAGCTTTGTCTTACGCACAAATCTCACTAGTGTCAGTTTCCTCACCTACAACTTGAAAAGTTTAGGCTAGCTGTCTTCTAATACATAACATGTTAGGAACAAAATCATAGGTCCTAAAAAAATGATTTTATATTCCAGGGAATGGAAGATGTCCATTGCAGGTCAAAGCTGGTTGCATTAGAATAAAGTTACAGTGGGGAAAAAAACAGAGACACTAATGTACTGTTGGTAGAGATGTGAACAGATTTAACCATTCTGAAAAACAATTTAGAACCTTGCCCAAAGGGCTATAAAACTGTGCATACTCTTTAATCCATCAATATCACTACTAGATCTGTATCTCAAAGAGATCAAAGAAAAAGGGAAAAGGAGTTATATGTACAAAAATATTTATAGCAGCTCTTTTTGTGGTGGCAAAGAATTGGAAATTGAAGGGATGCCCATCAATTGGGGAATGACTAAACAAGTTACGGTAAATGATTGTAAACCACTTGTCAAGTATGTTAATAGTGTAGACTGCTTTTGTGTATGATTTGAAATCATTGGCCTCTGAGGTCAATTCTATGATTCTCTGATATAGATATAAATCACAAGCATATGATGTTGGGAATAGTCACTTGGCCTCTCTTGACCTCAGTTTCCTCACCTGTAAACTGAAAGGGTGGACCAGAGCCAGGTTTTCCTTAGTTCTGAAATTCAGTTGTTTTATAAAACAACCAGGGACCCCCAATTTTCAGAAGAATCATAAATAAGTCACAGTCCACTCATATCTCAGAGTAAAGGGTCTGGAGAGTAAAGACAAATGCGCTAAATGAATATTGGCCAACCTTGAATTCCTCATGGATCCTCTCCTCCAGAACTTTGGCTGCCTTTCGGTCTTCCATCTCTACTTTCCATTTCTCTGCCAAAATACGAGCCTTCTCATTTGCCATAGCATCCCGGAATTTCTTTGTGATTTCTGCCTCCTTTTGTCTCCTTCCAAGAGAATACCAATAAACATGAGCTCTTATTTTGAAACAAGCAAACAAAAAGAAGAAAACAACTTTTTAAAAATACCCATATACAACTGCCACTTAAATTTCTGATATGAGGGAACAAAAATATCGGATTTTTTAGCAACTCTTAGATAAAATTGCTGGGGGACTGAACAGCTCACTTCAAGATAGTCTTCAAAGTATGGTAAGGACAGGAAAGTCCAATACCTACAGTATAATGAGCCCACTCCAAAATTTTAGTCCTTGCTAATTATGCTTCAAGAAGGCCCTCAGATAACCCTTCCTAGAAAGAGTGTCTTCATCTGCTCTTCTGTTCAGAAAATTAACTGCATAAGTGTCACCCCAGGATCTGCCAAGAAACCAATCTATTTAGGCCCTGAATCTTGCAAAGCCTATTATCTTGCCACCATTCTGGCTTCCCTCCATCAAATGCAGTCCTAAAATGACAGGATTTAGAACTAGAAGGGAGCTTGGAGCTCATTTTGTCCAACTCCTTATTTTACAGGGAAAAAAGGTAAAGTGATTTGCCCGAGGTCAAATAGCTAAAAAGTGTCAGGACTGAAATTTAGACTGCAGGTCCTCTGTCTTGCAGTCAGTGAGTGGCCTTTCCATGACACCATGTTTGTGTCCCCTCACCAGAGTTCCTCGGCCTCCTTCTGGGCCTGTCGTCTTGCCCTTTCTGCTATCAGCTCCTCCGAAATCTGTTCATATGGCTTGTCGCCTGGGGCTTCTCCCATAATCCAGACCCAAACTTCACCATCTATCCCATGAAGCCATTGAATGTGTTTACTGTTCGCTGTGATACACACCCCAAAACAGGGAGAGGGGAAGGAAAATAACACAAGGTCAGTTGGCTAGAAAATAGCTGAAGCAAATACATATATTAACACCAAATGGGGTTTTAATTCAATTTAATAAGTACATATTAAGCACCTGTGCTAGACACTAGGGGAAATGCAAAGTTAAGTGATAACCACTCATATTTATACTGACAAAACAATTTTCTCACAACAACTCTATAAGGTAGGTAGAAGAGTATTCTTTTCCCCATTTTCCAAATAAAGACACTGTGACTCCGAGAGATATGGTGAATTGCCCATGGCAAACAATCTACACTATTAATGTACCCGACAAATAGTTTTCTAGCTTTTGCTTGAAGATGACCAATGAGGAGAAATCTACTACCTCCTAGAGCAGCCTGTTACACTTTTAAATAGCTCTTATTGTTAGGAAGTTTGTTTTTGTTTTTTTTCCCCCTGACATCAACTAGTAAATTTCCAAAAATAAAAAAGCAAGATTTGGGGTAGGGGAGGGACCAGAAGGAGGGAGAGAATTTAGAACTCAAAAAAAAAAAAGTTTTAATGAATGTTAAAAATAAATTAATTTTTTATATATATATATATATATATATATATATATGTGTGTGTGTGTGTGTGTGTATGTGTGTGTGTGTGTGTGTGTGTGTATATGGACATATGTGTGTATGTGTATGTGCGTGTGTGTGTGTGTGTGTGTGTGTGTGTGTGTGTGTATATATATATTTTTTAAAAGCAAGATCTGAACCCAGGTCTCCTGTCTCCCCACAGAATATTGTTACCACTATACCATACTTCCTCTCAGTCCCTGCCCTCTGAGAATTTATTGTCTGAAAGAGGCTGGGGGCAGAGAATGACAATATATAAGGAGACATGGGTAGATGAATCTTGCAGAAAGAAGTGTTAAAAAATGTAACTTTCCAGTACAAAAACAACAACAAATGGGCTTGGAGGCAAAGATGTCTGGTTTTCTGTTGTGTTCATTATTATAGACTGAAAAAGAATATAGGGAGGGGGTAGAAAGAATAAGCCTACTACGAGCCAGGCAATGTGCTAACTGCTTTTTACAAATATTACATTTGATCTATAACACCTAGCTCACTTGGATTTTGTGAGGACCAACTGAGATCAGGTAAAAAGGAAATCAGAAAAACAGCAAAGAAAAATTCAAATTCTGGTTAAGCAATAGCCTCACAGTATACCCAATGAGGAAAAAACAGGAGGAGAGTGCCTCTGTTTGAAATGGGCAAGCCTGGATCTGATAGTATCTTGCCTTGCTCAGCTCGTCTTTAGAAGGGAATACCTTTTAAACAAGTAAACTATAAAGCCAAAACACCACAAGTACCAAATCACATGGGCCAAGGTATGAGCCTTGTTCTGGAAAGATAGAGATGCTAGCCTGGCCAGAGGCAGAGGAAATAGATCACCTTCCAGGCTTCAGATTGTTTGGTTTAATAGCAGATATTACCAGATATATAGAGATCATATTAAAAGATTTAATCAAGGAAATGCACAATCAAAAAAGAAATTAGGCTGGTCACATGGCAAGAGAGCTAACCAATGAACAACTTGTGTGTTCCATTGTGTGTTCCCAATGTCAAAAGAAGCCCACCCCCCTCCCCCCCAGCACACTGAGTAGACTCCCTTTAGCAAACATACAGGAAGACTGACAAGAATCAGTAAGTCTGTCAATAAGCATTTATTAAGTTCTCTGTATGTGCCTAGCACTGTGCTTCCAAGACTAGAAAGGTAGAAAGGGACCATATTGTGAAGAGTTGTAAAAGCTAGACAGAAGCATTTTGATCCTAAAAGCACCATGGAGACACTTGAGTAAAAGGGGAGTCTTGATACGACAAGCATGGACGGGTTGCCATCTACAAGGGTCAATCAAGAGACCACATGCTATGTTCCAGGTACCATGCTAGCCGCTGGGAATACAAAGACAAAAATCAAGCAGTCTCTTCCCTCAAGGGCCTTCTATCAACATGTACATATATGTATGTATATATTATACATAAGTAAATACAAGGGAATTTGAGGGAAAGGCACTTAACTAGCAGTTTGAGAGATTAGTGAAGGCCTCATGTAGTAGATGGTGTTGGAATTACATCTTGAAAGAAGCTAGATAATTATATATCTTTTTAAAAACTTCTCAATTCAACATGTACTATAATAAAATGAGCATTTCCAAATACAAAGTATAAGAGAAAAAGATTACGTGTAAAGCTGCACATCTCTATTTCATACAGCTTTTCTTATTAAGTATGTAATAAATTCAACTTGTAACTTTCAAAGCTGTCCTACTTCTCTTTGTTTCCTTCAGGCCTTCCTTCTTTGTCTTTTGTGAATTCTCTTTTTAATGTTTCAAGGATATTTTTTTTGTTAGGCAGCTTTATCACAAATGTCTCCTCCCTCTTCTCACCTCCCTCCACCCCACTGGAGAAAAAAGGAAAAGAACAACCCTCATAACAAATAAATATAATCAGGCAAAACTAAATTCCCACATTGGTCTTTTTGTGTAGCTTTAGCCTATTCCCCCCTCTATAAGAAGGTGAGTAGAATGTTTCACCACCCCTCTTTTGGAATCACAGTTGATTGAATAGATCAGAGACCTTTTATTTCAGAGTCACTGCTGTTATTTCTATTGTTTTACTTTGTTATTGTTGAGTAGTTTTTCAGCTGCGTCTGACTCTTCATGACCCCATTTGGGGTTTTCTTGGCAGAGATACTGGAGTGGCTTGCCATTTTTTTCTCCATCTCATTTTACATATGAGGAAACTGAGGCAAACAGGGTGAAGTGACTTGCCAGTCAGTATGTGAGGCCAGATTTGAACTCAGGAAGATGAATCTGCCTGACTCCAGGGTCGGCACTCCATCCACTGTGCCACCTAGCTGTCCCGCTGTTTTACTTTACAATGTGGTTATATTACATCAATTGTTCTCTTACTTCTGTTAGCTACATTCAACTTCAGTTCAGAGAACCTTTCCCAAGTTTCTCTGAAATTATCTCTTTCACCACATCTTATGGTATAACAATATTTTATTACATTCATATACCACAATTTGTTCAGCCTTTGTTCAATTGATAGGCATCCCCTTAGTTTCCAGTTGTCACTACAAAAAGAACTGCTATACACACACACACACACACACACACACACACACACACAAGTTTTTTCCTCTTTCTTTGATCTCTTTTGAGTATAGGCCTAGTGGAGACATTGCTGAGTCAATGTGTATGCACATTTTGAGGGTGTAGTTCCAAATTACTCTCCAGAATGGCTGGACCAATTCACAATTCTGCCAACAGTTGGGCATAAATATGCCTGCTTTCCCACAGCCCCTGTAATAGTTGCCATTTTTTATTTTTCTTTTTTGGTCATCCTTGACAATCTGATGGGTGTGAAGTAGAACCTAGGAGGTGTTTTAATTGACATTTCTCTAAATATTAGCTTTGGGCATATTTTTATGTTTGTTGGTAGCTGTAGGAGGTGGAGATGAGAAGGAAGTGCTTTACAGGCATGTAAGGAAGCCTGGGCAAAGCCACAGATGTTGAAGATGGAGTGTTATCGGTGAGGAACAGCAAAAAGGTCAGTTTGACTGAACTCAACATATAGAGCGTGAGGGGGAGTAACATAATAAAACTGGAAAGGGAGGCTGAAGACAAAGTGGGAAGGTCTTTAAGGGCTAAATAGAAGAGTCTGCATTTAATCCTAGAGGCAATAGGGAGCCACTGGAGCTTAATGAGGTGGAGAATGGCATGGCCAAACCCGTGCTTGATCAGTTTCTCTTTGGAAGCTATGTGGAGAATGGATTGGAGAAGGAACAATAGAAGGACCCATTAGGAGGTTATTTCAGTAGTTCTACAAGAAGTGATTGGTGCTAGATGTGGGTGCTGGTTGTATAAGTGAAGAGAAGGGGACAAATATGAGAAGTGTTATGGAGGTGGAGTCAACAAGACTTGGCAACTTAATGGATACATGGGGTAAGGGAAAGTGATGATCCAGTTATGACACTGGCATGGTAAATCTCAGTGACCGCAATGATGTCTTTTGACAGAAATAAGGAAGTTAAGAAAAGAAGTGGGGAGGGGATCATATTTTGGACATGTTGAAATTGAGATGTCTATAGGAGGATTCAAAATGCCCAACAGGCAGTTGTGGTCTATGACTAGAACTCCAGAGAGAGGCCAAGGTTGGAGATAGATAGATAGATATATGGAGATATCTATCTATCTATCTATCTATCTATCTATATAGATATATATAGATATAGATATAGATATAGATATAGATATAGATAATATAGATATAGATATAGATATAGATATAGATATAGATATAGATATAGATATAGATATAGATATATATAGATAACATATACATATACATATAGATATAGATATATATACATATAGATATAGATATAGATACATATATATCTATATATATATGGAACTCATTTCTATAGAAATAGTAATCTTTGGGTGAAATAGTCATATCAGTGACAGCACAGATCTATTTGAATATTGCCAGAAAATTGTCACTAACTATAGGTGTCTCCCAAGGGTCTGCCCTGGGCCTTCTCTTCTCAGTCTAGTAATCACATCAGGTCACATGGATTAAGTTATCATTTCAGTGCAGATGATTCTTAGATTCTCTATTTATCCAGCCCTGATCTCTCTCCTGCCCTGCACCTGTGCATCTCAAACTGGATGTCTTATAGATATCTTAAACTCAATACATCCAAAACAGAACTCATATTTTCCCCAAAACTCTTCCCCTCTTCCTAACTTCCCTATTACTTTCATCACCATTCGCCCAGTCTCCCAGACTTACAACCTAGGCATTGCCCTTGACCCCTCACTCACATTCAACTCACATATCCAACCTGTTGTCTTATCACTCAACTTACACATCCAATCCAAGTCTTAGCATTTCTACCTTCACAGCATGTCTCATATACGTCCCCTTATTTCTAT